GCTCCCTTTGTGGGGAAAGCAAGAAAAGACCCACTGCCTCCCCAACAAGCATGTCGTAGGAGTCGACTAATTTGGAGCTTCCTTCGAAGTCGTTCATCTGCCCGAGCGGCAAGGAACAACCAACTGTATACAAAAAAGTTAGTAAAACGGATGTACACGCAAAACTCAGCCACTGGCACAAAGCCAATGTCCAAATGGACGAACAACCAGGATTTTCCGTCGTAGCTTACAGCCAGTGAACAAAGCAGAAGAAGAAAATGATGATATTATTCGGTTAGAGCCTCATATTCACCTTTTTAAGTCCGAGAACAGTAGGCATGAATATGTTGTGCTAATTTAACATAGGAGTGTTCGTGTGTGTATGTGCTTGCGTGTATTGTGTATGTGTTTATGTGTGTATGTATGTATGTGCGCGCGCGTGTTCGAGCGGGAAGCTACACACGAAACATAATGCACACCACACTAAGAAATAATGAATGAAAATAATAAAGATAAATCAATACAACTACAGTGATGTTGTCGGCTCTTTGACAGGGAAAGCGAAGATTATCGATGGATAAGAACGGCGCAAATTTATCCTTAAAAAATGGATATGAATTGAATAAAGCTCGGCATATCGCGAACAACAAAAATTGAATCAAATAAAAATAGGGCGGCAATTTGTTGGAACAAAGTTGAGCGGGAGGTAAAATCAAGAGACGCTGATTGAGTTTGTAAATCAGGGATTGAAAGACTGGGGGTAGATAAACAGGACATTAAAGGGTTCTCCTTGGCAAGAAAGTCAAACCGTTTGCTTCATGTTCTAAAGGTTGTGAGTTCGTTTCACAGACGCGTCGTTTCGTTTATCTGTAAACTTTTTTTTATGAAAATCCCCGGAGGATGGTCCCTGAGGCTACCGAGTTCGTGCTTCTAGTCTGTCTTTATCTCTTTAGCTCTCTCTTTCTCTCTCACTATCTCTTTCTCTCTCACTCTCTCTCTCTCTCTCTCTCTATGTGTCTCTCTCTCACTCTCTCTCTCTATGTCTCTCTCTCTCACTCTCTCTCTCTCTCTCTCTCTCTCTCTCTCTCTCTCTCTCTCTCTCTCTCTCTCCTTATGTGAGTAATCATTCTGCAGAACGAGATGGAGCTATATGGATAATCCTGTACAATGAAGTGAATCTTATCGGGTTCGACTTCAAACTCTTACAGGCGGTTTCGTGGAATGAGATTATTTGGTATGTGCTACTTGTGTAGGTACCTATGCAGGTATCCTTTATAGCGGAGATGGTAAGTTTATAAAGCTATATTCTGAACATTTCTCTTTTCTAGCTATCTATCCTTTATACATGAGCAAAGGCCTTCATTCAACTCACGCCAGGTTGTCATCCTTTGCTGTCGCCTCCAGTTCACCCAATGTTCTCCCCATGTCCTCCCCATTTTTTTTTCTCATTTTATTCACCATGTGATTTTCTATCCTCGGTTCCCAAGTCGACATGCCTTAATAGATACCAGGTAAGTACTGGTAAGTAAAGGTGGCCGGTGTGATAGCGATTACATCATCCACAAAGTGCATACAGGTTTTTAAAATATAGGTCTGGCCCTATGTGCCTTTAGGTGTGAAAAGGAGTCCTTTACCTACTTTGCTTATGTGGTTTTCTAGCGGCGGTTATTCATTTCAGCATGTGGATTTCCGTGCAAGAATGTTCTAGTAACAGTGTTATCAGATTGTCAGTGTGTCTTATCCAAGGTCAGATGTCTTCTTCTTCTTTTTTGCTTTCACCAGCTGTAAACTCTGGTGGAAAGTTCTGGTTGTTCGTCCACTTCTGGACTGCAGTCCTGTTCCAGAACCTGAGTGTTGCGTGAGCATCCGTTTGACAGATCTGACTCATTTGTGTGCAGACTGTTGGTTCCTTGCCTCTCAGGCAGATGCACTCCGACTTTAAAGGAAGCTCCCAATTAGTCGACTCTTACGACATGCTTTTGGGTAGGCAGTGGGTCTATTCTTGTTTCCCCTAAAACAGGGCCCAGGAACCCACAAGGGGAAGGTCAGATGTGTTTTTTTTTCCTCTTCGCCTTTCCCTTCGCTGGAATTCATTTAATTCTCTTCTAAAGCACCATTAATTGTGTACTTAATTTAGTAATTTTGACAGAGCAGTTACTTCCTTAGCAATTACCTAGACAACATCAAACAATCGACATAAAGACAACAGATCAAAGTTTGTAACAAGTTTAACCTTTAAATATTTATAGAGCTTTTTAACATATAATGGCAGAATAGATGGAGAGATTGAAACAAGAATCCAACCACTGACCCCAATTTTGAAACATCCAGCTATCCCAATAGAGACTAAAAAGGATGGTTGCGTATCCTTTACAGGACATTGCAGAACCAACCCCAACAGCCCTTGGCTGTTGTGTGGTTTTTCTAGGCAAATTTACGTCCAGTAGTTTGCCATTGCCTCTGTACGGTCGGCTATCTTGATACCACTGTCGAAACCAACGCAAGGCGCATTGCCAGCAGCTGGGATCGAATCCGGCATTACTAAGCGTTCGCATCGACTTAGCCACAGAGCTGACTAGAGACCAAAAAAACGATTATAAATGCAATGATCAATCATACCGACCTTGAGCTATCAGTGTCAGACTTGGTTATTGAATACAGAAAACCAAAGAAAGGCTGTCCCTAAACTAGAAAAGATCATGAGAAAGTCACAACAACTATTGGAACTAAATTCATTTTAAAACAGACTGAAATAATTCGGCCGTTAAATTTCAATGAATCCATTGATGCCAGCAACAGAACCAATTCTGGATTACATAAAAAGACAGCAAGTGAAATGGTTTGCCCACTTAGAGAGAATGCCTTGTGACACCATACCATACAAAGCATACATGGAAAGAGAAGAAGGACGTAAAGCACGAGGTAGACCAAGAACAAGATGGAAGGATAACATCAGAGAAACTCTACAACAGCACGATGTGCCTATGGTCGAGGCAGCCAGAAGAGCTAGAAACAGAACCTTATATCTCCCTCGACACCCACTGCGGTAAAAGAGGAAGTGAAGAAGAAGAAGAAGATGCCAGCAACGAGAGCGTACAATGTGAAATTAGAAACACCAAGAAGTTGGGAACGACCAAAAAGAACATAGATGGAAAAAGTCAGTGATAATCTGAACCTCCACAACACCACAGCATTCATGGCAACCGAGCGTGCCCTAGCTCGGAAACCGATTTGTTCATCTGCGTTGCCTAGCGACACAAAACAGAATATGGACAAAAGAAGAAAGACAACTTCAATTCCCTCTATTCTGTACAGGCACTAATTAATGTTTGGTGGTAATTTCATTTACTCATTATCCGTGTATCAGAAGTGGACAAATTAGCATACTCCGGACATTATTTCAGAAGTGGACAAATTAATAAATAGTCTGGACATTTATTACAAGTGGACAAATCCACATTCTCTGGAAATTATTTCAGATGTGACAAATCCACATTCTCTGGACATTATTTCAGATGAGGACAAAGCCACATTCTCTGGATATTATTTCAAATGTGACAAATCCACATTCTCTGGACATTATTTCAGATGTGGACAAAGCCACATTCTCTGGATATTATTTTTTTTAGATGGGACAATTCCACATTCTCTGTACATTATTTCAGATGAGGACAAAGCCACATTCTCTGGACATTATTTCAGATGAGGACAAAGCCACATTCTCTGGACATTATTTCAGATGAGGACAATTCCACATTCTCTGGACATTATTTCAGATGAGGACAAAGCCACATTCTCTGGACATTATTTCAGATGAGGACAATTCCACATTCTCTGGACATTATTTCAGATGAGGACAAAGCCACATTCTCTGGACATTTATCACAAGAGGACAAATCCACATACTCTGGACATTTATCATAAGAGGACAAACCCACATTCTCTAGACATTTGTCACAAGTGGACAAACCCACATTCTCTAGATAGATCTTGTGTGCGTACATGTGTGTGTGTGTACACTTGCGTGTGTGTAAGTGCGTTGTTGACAAGGAATCTTATGCACACACGTTTACAATTAATAAACTAAAATATCGTATTTCTCACAATCACTGAATGAAATGATGGCGTTTTCTCTCGTACTGAATGAACTAACATATGGTGTTTTTTCTCGCACTAACTAACGGACGGGTTTTTTTTTTTTTTTTTAACACTGAATGAACTGACAGATGGTGTTTTCTCTCACACTTAATGAACTAGCATTTGGGATTTTCTCTTATACTGAAGGAACTAACAGATCATTGTTCTTTCACATTGAATGAACAAACATGGTAAATTCTCTCACAATGAATGAACAAACAAATGGTGTTCTTTCTCACAATGAGTGAACTAACATATGATGTTTTCTCTCACACTGAACGAACAAAGAGATGGTGTTTTCTCTCACGCTGAAAGAACAAACAAATTGTGTTCTTTCTCATAATGATTGAACTAACAAAACATTTGATGTTTTCTCTCACACTGAAGGAATAAAGAGATGGTGATTTCTCTCACGCTGAAAGAACCAACAAATGGTGGTCTTTCTCACAATGAATGAACTAACATATGATGTTTTCTCTCACGCTGAATAAACTAACAGGCGCTGTTTTCTCTCACAATGAATGAAATAACATAGGGTGTTTTCTCTACATCTAATGTACTAACAGAAGGTGTTTTCTCTCACAATGAATGAACTAACATAGGGTGTTTTCTCTCACACTGAATGAACAGACAGTGTTTTCTCTCATACTGAATGAACTAACACGCGGCGTTTACTCTCACAGTGAATAAACTAACATATGGTGTTTTCTCTCACAATGAATGAACTAACATAGGGTGTTTTCTCTCACACTGAATGAACAGGCAGTGTTTTCTCTAATACTGAATGAACTAACACGCGGCGTTTACTCTCACAGTGAATAAACTAACATATGGTGTTTTCTGTTACATCTAATGTGCTAACAGAGGGTGTTTTCTCTCCCCAGTTCCGCCACGAATATCTGCCAGTGACAATGACGGGACAGTGACAGTCGGCGAAGGTGAGAAAGCTACACTGACTTGTAATGCTACAGGAATACCCCGCCCAACAGTCACGTGGTACCGGCAGCCCAGCGTCAGAGGAGAACCTATAGAGAGTGAGTCATGCAGGGCCATCTCTAGTAAGGAAATCTGTAGTGTACAATTGTCACCTCCATGCTTGTTACGCCTATGTCTGCACTGCTTTCAGGAAGAAGTAATCAATGCTAAAAACTCACGTATCGTTGTCATTTATCGTTTTTTACTAAATATATCGAATTATATGACTACTTCTGGAAAACAATACAGTATCTCTAGAACTCTTTTTTTTTCGCCGGCTGTGAGAAAGTCTTGGTTCTTGGTCCTTTTGGACTTTGTCTGTGTGCCAGGGACTCTGGTTTGCCTGTATATACACTTTGCTGGCTTATGTGTGTGCAGTTGATTGTTCCTTGTCGGTCAGGCAGATGCACTCCGACTTTGAAGGAAGCTCCAGTTAGTCGACTTTTAAGATATGCTTTTTTGTGGGGGGGGGGGGGGGAGGGGGTTGCCGGTGGGTCTGTTCGTGTTTTCTCCCACACTGGGGCACCAGAACCATCACGGAGATTATGTCTGGAACTAAAGATCGTTTCATGATCAGTCAATCAATCAGTTGTCGTTCCCACAATGGAGAGTGCAGCTCCATCACAATCCTGCTCTTGGCATTCAATCACAGTGTGTTGTCGGCTATCTCTTCATGTTTCCTCTCTTATCTCAATTTGTACCTCTTGCTCGTCTACCTGTTGTATGGTGTCGATAAATATCTCTTTTGGGTGGTGAAAGGGATGTTGCAAAATCAGCTGTTTTTGCATTACCAATCTCTTTATAAGTTCTGCATTTGTTTTTGTTTTTTTGTTTTTTGTTTATTCTTCCCCCCCCCCCCCCCCCCCCCCCCCCCCCCCCCCATGAAATACGACTAACTTTTTCACATAGCCACATTTTCCAAGCCTCTGTGCGACTTCTCATTTCTATTTCCCTGTCCACGTTTCTGGGCCATAATGTACGGTTGGTTGTTTAAAAAAAAAAAAAAAAACATTTAAACACTTTTTTTTAAGTTTTAATGTTTTGGTGGGTTATAGATATTACTAAGTTTTTTTTTTTTTTTTTGGGGGGTGCTGAAATTGTTTTCATCATATCAGTTTATTTTTCATGTGTATTTTACTTATGTTCTTTTATGAGCAACTTGATTGTCTCTCGCTGCTGACTCCAGTATCGTTCTTTCTTTACTGTGATGTTCGTTGTTGATTTGTTTTCTTTTTCCAGTTATCGTAGTTTTGGTTTTTAATCTATTATTTACATTCTACTTTGCTTTCACTTGCTTGCCTCACGAGACGGGGAAGTAACCTTTGTTCTCTGTACGCAGTACTAAAGTGACATCAAGTCCCCATTAGTTTTTACTAGGGTTGTCAGATACTCCGTGTCCATATGTTGTTCCTATGTAGTAAGTTTAATGTGTTGATTATTTACATTGTATAACCTTTTTGAAGAGCGGCTGGTCGAACGATTAGAAAGTTAGGTTCTCAAGCGGGAGACGTGGGTTCAAATCCTTGGTAAGGGTGGTGATCTTTTATTGGCAGGTATTGGGGGCCAAATAAAACGTTCATCTGCACAGTCGTGGTGACACTACTACCCATGCGACCGTAAATCATCAGGCTCAAAGACCTCCCCCACACCCTCCGCCCGCCTAACCACAAAAATTGTATAATAAATGCAGTAATTGGCAGTTTTATTGGCAGTATAACCTTTTTGTCCACATATTGTTCCTACGGAGTAAGTTTACTGTGTTGAGTATGTACATTATAACATAGCAGTAGTAACAATGTCGTTATTTAAAAAAAAAAAAAAAACAGTAATCACTCAGCTTTGTTATTTTACTAAATCTGGCAACCCTAGTTTATATAGTGTGAAAGTCCATTATCCATATTTGTGTGTAACTGTTGCCCTCCAGAATTGCATTATGCTTAGGGTTTGAGTTTTGAACAACGCATCGCCATCAAGGCACACGGGAGGTAACTAATAATTGCTCAATTCTACTTTAACTCAAGTCTGAGTCCGAAGAAGCTCAGCACAGTGCACAGGCTTTGTAGCACCGGCGAGGATCCTGAAATAGTTTGGGTAGATTTTCAACTCAAAATTTTCGCTCAGGCAGCGCCGTTAGGCTACTCTTTTTGATTTCCAACTGCTAAGGGATTTTTTACGTGCGCAACAACACGGGCGTCAGATCTGACTAACCAGGGACCAGGGGAAATTTACAGAAGTCAAAGTCCACGTGAAAAAAATCCCAGCCCTTACCGAGGATTGAACCCGGAATATCTAGCACTCGAGGCGGACACTTTACCTCGAGATCACACCGCCCCCCCCCCCTTGCATTATGAAGGATTAACAACTAAATAATCAGTAGCAAACAGGTAGAAATATCGGCAACAGCGTTTAGTCGTTTAACCCAGACACATAAGGAGCACTGTACGGGTACTAAAGAGCACTGTACGGGTTCTAAGGAGCACTGTACGGGTACTAAGTGTCTGCAGTCCATGATGTAGATATCTTGAATCTTATAAGAAAAGGGAAATGTCTGGTCCGGACTTCAGGTGGCCTCGTAACTGTCAGACTCCCCAATATAACCTTACGGTTGACGAGGCTTACCTTCATTTGCACATATAGGATTCTCATTATTGTGGTGTTTGTTAACACTGCGGACTCAGTCCAGGTTTTATATGTTGGTATATATGGTAGATCCTGTGTATATGTTGTGTACAAAAGTATCACCCAAACAGTCCGGTAACACACTGTAAATATTTAGTACTAGCTGCACCCGGCCACGCGTTGCTGTGACCCAGAATGGTAAACTGGAAAAGAAAGAAAATAGAAAGCTCACCTGTCTTGTATGGTTAAAATCAGTCACTGCACAGCTACAGAGATAGTCTGATATGCCGACTCTAGAACACGCAACACTTAGCTACACTTCCTCTCCCCCATTTTTTTTTTTTTTAAAGAAAATTTGCAAAGGGAGCTACGTACTTCACCCTTCCCCCTTTCCCACAATGTATATATGTTCACTTTTAAGTAGTTGTTTACATATGTAGAACTATTCCAAATATTTTATTATATTTATCTGCAAATCAGCTCATAGTAATCACCATCATCACTGTTATTGTTGTTATTATTATTAATTATTATTACTGTCACTTAAACAAGGCTTAAGCCATATTGAGCCCCTTCTCTGGTGCCTTCACACATTTTAATGGAGATGAGAGGGGGGGGGAATAAGCCCCACCCATTCCCTAAGACTTCTTCGTGGCGGTGCCTCTACTTGAGCCGTATTGGGTGTATAGTATCAACCCCGTATAGTCTTAGACGTCTCAGCACTCGTCTGTTAGCGTGGTCAGAATCACCATAGCTGTTTTTACTTCCTGTGATATGCATTGTTACCCATTTAGCAGCATGGTAATTCATTGAATTTTAAGAGTTCTTCTTTACAACAACATGTGTGAGGCAGCAACGAGTGCCCTGACTTTTAAATTATTTGTACAGGGCTTACAGCCATCCGAAAACTTGTCATTCAAGAATACTTTCTCCAACCATCTATGATAAAGTTAAAGTTTAAAGTCTGAGGTGAGTAGCGGTGAGCTAAGAACTGACATCACAGCATTCCTGGCATTCCCATATGTGCTCTGTGCCCATATTCAGCAACCAGCGCAGAGTACCAGTACTAATGATGCCTGTCGTCGTCCTGGCCACATCTACTGTGTCATGTATCAATTCATTACCAGTGGTGCAGATCCAGGCAATCTGTCTGCCTGTTCTTTCCCCACCACGCCGGCATCGCCTGGAAAAAAAGGTTCCAAAGTATGCTCATTACTGGTGACATTCCCAATGAAACTTGCCACGCCGCTCAAAATATCCCTGTCTTCACATTTCTTAGATTGCTTTTAGGACCCTTGAAAATTACGACATGTTTGTGCATCTTGATCTTTAGCCACCGGCAAGCTGCAGTGACCGCCTCCACCTCTATTCTCATGCTAGATGTTGTGGTATCGTATGCTAGGCTATACTGGGCTAAAGATTTTCCATTGGCTATCGCTACAAACTCCCAGGCGCTTCTCTTCCCTCTCAACCAGAACCATCAGCATAGATAATCAGATGATCTGGAAGGTTAAAAGTGAGAGGATCGACTTCATTGCACCAGGTTTTATCCTATTGGGCTCAGTGTCTCTCTACAGAACGACTAGCTGTCTGCCGAGAGAGTCACACAACTGACGAATTTCGTAGCTCTGGCAACGATCCGCACAGTTATCCCAAACAACTGCGCCTTGAACCGAACGAGGCAGCCATGAAACAAACCCACGACCCTCAGAGCTCGGCTCAGCCGGTTCGACCACTTCGCCACGTAGACCACCAATAGTCTATGATAAGATTTTACTAAATAATCAGTTCACATTTTGTAAAATTCCGATGTATACATAAATGATGGATAGATGTTTTTAAAAAAAAAGTTTAAGTCCCCTTTCCACGCTAGGCGTATAGGGCATATAGGGCTAGATCTATATTTTTATAGACAAATCGGTACAAGATGGGCGATGTGGCCGCCTTTACATCCCTGGACTGTACACGCTACCCATCTAAGGCTGGGTAGACCTGGGAGTCAAGGTCATTTTTTTTTAAAGTTTAGCTCCGCCAGGGAGCGAACCCACGACCTTCCGGTCCCCACGCGAGCTCCTAGCCGCTATGCCACGGCGACTCCTGATAGATATAAGGATTGTCCATCAATACCAGCAACTATGTAGCCCATACCAAGGCGTAGGAGGCGCCCGATGACTCTTCAGAATTGGATATATTCATAAACTTCTGTTCTTTTTCCATGTTGACGTCGTTGGCTCCAATTGTACATTTGTGGTAGAACGACCAGCCAACCAACGAACGAACAAACGAACGAACAAACAAATGAACGAACTTTATTTTCAAAGGGTTACAAACTGGGCTCGCAGGCCCCTCATTTATTTGGCCTTTCCAAGCATTCATCCTTCAGACCACAATTGCATGTTATCAGTGAGGCATTTTTTTGTTTAAATAAAAATATAGATAGTTAAATAATGCATACATGCATCATATATATATATATATATATATATATATATATATATATATATATATATATATATATATATATATATATATATATACACACACACACACACGACCATACACACTTCAAATTTACACGTATACATACACTAAATATACCCATACATACATGCACACAAGCCAAAAAACGCTAACCTAATGTTGGTTTGAAACGTCCTGTAAAGAATAGGCAACAATAATCTTCGCCTTCTGCGTTCTCCCTAGCCAGTTGGGATTTACAGCTAGGCAGCGATATCTACACCTATTGATCTCAAGTATTCTAGTTAAGCAAACCCATAATTAGTCGTTTTCACGAAAGTATGTTATGGGAACAGTGGGTCTACCCCCGCTGGGAATTAGCTGTGCAAACTGTATTGTATGATAGCTATGTTCGGTTGGTTACTCTTTCATCATTGTTCCCCCAGGAATCGGCTTCACGGGGGAGATTCTGGTGATACACAACGTGACCCGGTTCTGTGGTGGTCAGTATGAGTGTCTGGCGGAGAATGGAGTCTCGCCCAGTGTCCGACACACTACAGTTGTTCGGGTCAAATGTAAGTTTTACCTGTTAGATTTTTGGGGGGAGTGCCACCGGAGGAAGTTCGTTTGTTGTTGTTGTTGTGACTGTGTTGTTGTTGTGGCCTTCTTGTTTTTGTGGCTGTGTTGTTGTTGTGCCTGTGTTGTTGTTGTGGCTGTGTTGTTGTTGTGACTGTGTTGTTGTTGTGGCCCTCTTGTTGTTGTGACTGTTGTTGTTGTGGCCCTCTTGTTGTTGTGACTGTTGTTGTTATGGCCCTCTTGTTGTTGTGGCTGTGTTGTTGTTGTGCCTGTGTTGTTGTTGTGGCCCTCTTGTTGTTGTGGCTGTGTTGTTGTTGTGCCTGTGTTGTTGTTGTGGCCCTCTTGTTGTTGTGGCTGTGTTGTTGTTGTGGCGACTGTTCATGCCTCTTGTACTGCTGACGTTGCTGCGGGTGGTAGTGGTGTTAGTGTTTTGTTGCTGATTTCGATGTTGCTGGTGGGTGTGGTTTTTTGTCGTTGTTGGTGGTGATGGCGTTTTACTATTGGTATCGTTGTTGTTGACGTTGTTGTTCCCGCTGGTAGTGTTGTTGTTGTTATTGTTGATAATGTGAGGATGATAAAAATGCAGCGGCTGCTGCTGCTGCCGTTGTTGATGTTAATTGCTGTGGTAGTGGTAGTCGTGTTTTGTTGTTACTGCTGATGATGTTGACACAGCCACTCCTGTTGAGTTGATGATAGTTGTGATGTTGTTTGTGTTGCTTTTCCAACTCCACGTCATCCAGATATTTGCTTTGATTTTTTCAATTCCTGAAAAACATGACGATGAAATACACTCATGCGAACGAGTTTCTATCAGACGCCAACGATAACTCCGTGAAGATGATGAAACAAATTGTAAGGAATAAGATAAAAGTGTGTCCTTTATGTTGGTTTAGATCCTGCTAGGCTAACATGTTTTACTTTAGTCCTATCTTAACAGAAACGGGGAGCGGGGAATGGGGTGGGAGGGGGGAGGGGTTCAGTCAAATAATTTGAAAAAGGCAATCAGTATATGAATCGGAACCCCCGTGTGGGTTCCGGGGTCCTTTCAGACCGAGTCCTTTCCGAGCTTCCTTCGAAGTCGGAGTGCATCTGCCTGAAAGGCAAGAAACCAACAGTCTGTACACAAATGTGTCACATCTGTCAAACGGATGCACACGCAACACCCAGGTTCTGGAACAGGATTGCAGTCCAGAAGTGGACGAACAATCAGAACTTTCCACCAGAGTGTACATCTGGTGAACGCAAAGAAGAAGAAAAAGAAATGGGGGGGTGGGGGGGGGGGGGATCCGGTAATTGAATTTTGTAAGCAAAGGGGAAATAATTCTCAATTCAAACGCTATGTTTTTTAGAAAGGTACTTACTGCCCTTTTTTTCTTAAACCAACGATCTCATAAAAATAATACTGTTTTCATTTCTGTACTGGGCATTGAAAGGGTGAATTTTAATGGTAAAATATATCAGTTTCTAAGCATTTTAAAATGTGTATAACATTTCGGACTCCCGAATACACCGGGGAAAAAAAACAGATGGGGACTCCCTAAGACCGAAGAAACGTTTTTTATAAGAAACAAATGCAGATGTATTGATCGGCACTGATAAGAAGATAGAGAGACACTCTTAAGAGGTTTTTTCTCAACATTTTTACATCCATGGTCCACCAAAACAGTGGAAATTGTTTCGCGGCCCACCAAAACAGTGGAAGTTGTTTCGAGGCCCACCAAAACAGTGGAAATTGTTTCGCGGCCCACCAAAACAGAGAATATTGTTTCGCGGCTCACTAAAACATATGGCAGTTACCATACCAGGAATCAAAATGATCACCTCCAAATAACGACAGCGCCTCTAATAGAGGTGTCTAGTTGGTCATGCGTCTAAGTACACTTGTTCCTGCAGCCAGGCGCTGTCATCATTTACCGGTGACAGGTTCGATTCTTAGGCATGTGAGATTCGTTGCTGCAGACAAATACAACGAGACACAGGTCATGTAGGCGATCCACTGCAGACAACCTTCATCGTGAAAATGACTACTAGCGGTGGTTTTACGATAACCTCTTTCTCCCAGTGTGTATATACAAATTTTAACAACTAGTAACAAATTGAACATACAAATATATATGTAGCATTACATGTTTCAGAGACCCCAAAGCTTAACTCGATACAAGTAATTCCAGCAAATGTGATAAATGCCCCTTCTCTCGGATATTAATCTAGCAAATGGTGTATTTGCGATTTCGGTGAGGTGAATATAGTATCGAGGAGTGGCTGGCCGAGCGGTTACAACGTTGGGCTCTCATTTGGAAGACCCGAGTTCGACCCCCCGGTAAGGTAATGTAGTTTTTCTGTCGGGAGAAAAATTAAACATCCTAACCTGCATAGTTCGTTTCGCCTTAAATCCTCAGGTTCAAGACTTCCCTGTCTACACCGCCCTAAATCCTCAGGTTCTAGGCTCCCCTATCTACACCGCCCTAAATCCGCAGGTTCAAGGCTCCCCTGTCTACACCGCCCTAAATCCTTAGATTCAAGGCTCCCCTGTCTACACCGCCCTAAATCCTTAGGTTCAAGGCTCCCCTGTCTACACCGCCCTAAATCCTTAGATTCAAGGCTCCCCTGTCTACACCGCCCTAAATCCTTAGATTCAAGGCTCCCCTGTCTACACCGCCCTAAATCCTCGGGTTTTAGGCTCCCCTGTCTACACCGCCCTAAATCCTTAGGTTCAAGGCTCCCCTGTCTACACCGCCTTAAATACTTAGGTTCAAGGCTTCCCTGTCTACACCGCCCTAAATCTTCATTTTTAGGCTCCCCTGTCTACACCGCTCTAAAAAGTGGTGAAACGGACAGTAGGGACAGACGAATAAAGCATCTGTTTAGATCTATTTTTATTTTCATTGACTAATCCTAAGAAGGTTTAGTTGTATTTACGTTTTCTCCTAATGGAATCTAGTAACAGTTAGTTTTTTGCTTGTTCGGATTAGCGCCCTGGCTTGATCCGTGATTCTGTAATCATGTGACATGGCAAAGCATGACAAACAGAAGGACTCTAATTTGGTATTTCGGCTTCATGATAACTAACTAGATATAACAAATTTTATACTGTATTTTTAATTTTTTTTTATTTCACAGTCCCCCCAGAAGTGTCTCTTGCAAACAAACGAATGGGACAAGCAGTAGGAAAAGATACGATCCTGGAGTGTGTGGTTACAGCCTACCCTCAAGCTGAAGCCGCCTGGATGTTCGGGGGCAATAAACTAAGCCATTCAGATAAGTACAAAGTGAGTTGTTTCCACTTTTTATATCACAGTCGCTTTTTCAGACAGTCGTAATGCACTTCTCGAAGGCAAGTGTGTTTATTTATATTATCACCATCATTAGTCATGCTGGGTGGCACTGGAGATGCTTTTACCCCCCCCCCCCCCCATAATACTACAGTGGGGATGCAGAAGAGCGGAACCACACGTGGCGATGCACCAAGACCACGGCGTATACTGACTGGTCAACACCTGCTTAAACCTCTCCGCGGCTATTCATGCAAGAGGTTCCCAGCCGTAAACAGTGCCAAGGGAGTTATGATCGACGTTTCGTTCAAAGTCGGGGTGCATCTGACTGAGAGGTGAGAGCGCAACAGTCTGCAAACAAACAAGCCTCATCTGTAAAACGGGTGTGCATGAAAAACTCAAGTACGGAGGGGGAGGGGGGAAATCCACAATGGAAGGAAAATCCAGAACTTTCCCCCGGTGTATACAGACGGTGAACGCAAGGAAGAAGAAATAATATTAATGTTTATAATCAGACAACGTGACGGTATGAGCAGAAATATACTTGGAAACTCGGTGACAACTGGCAAACGTGGTGGCGAGAGAGCAGGGTGAAAACTCAGAGATAAATACCTGGATGGTTTGAATACATGGCATGAGCAGGACAATAACACAGACATGATCCGCAGTTTTGGTGATATTATGAAATAGTGAATTGTAGCCGCTTAAGCTTATCACAATTTCACATGATAGTAATCATCACTTTCATGATAATTATCGTCATAATCATCGTCGTCATCATCGTCATTATCATCATCATCGTCACCATCATCATTGCCATCATCATCGTCGTCATCATCATCGTCATCATCATTATCATCATCGTCGTCATCATCGTCATCATCCTTATCGTCGTCATCATCATCATCATCATCGTTGTCATCATCGTCGCCATGATCGTCGTCATCATCATCATCGTCGTCATCATCATGATCATTGTCATCGTCATCCTCATCGTTGCCGTCATCATCGTTACGATCGTTGCCATCATCATCATCGTCATCATTATCATCGTTGTCGTCATCATCCTCATCATCGTCATCATCAGGATCAAGCGATACTGCAATAATGGGCAGTAGGTATAGGAATCCCTGCCCATGGCGATGGCGAGTGTGACTGACAAGACCCACATAAAGTTTTACGTACTTAGAGCAAGAGATTTCAGTAGCCTTGTTGTCATAGCGTGTATTTCATGTGCTGTGTAAGAGGACCAGCTTGTAATCCACTAGCCACTGTGTATCAGAACATTACAGTTGCCTATCAGAAAATATCGGCGTCTGTGGCTTTGGCGTTTCGAACGAGCTTCATAATGTCGGGGTGCCGGGTTCGATCCCTGCTGCGGATGGTTTGTCTTGCGATGGTTTCGACCGTGGTACCGAGAGAAAACCGTCCAGTAAGCAATGGCAAACTACTTGACGTAAATTTGCCTAGAAAACCACAACAGCCAGAAAGTGCTGGGGTTGGTTCTGCAACGTCCTGTAAAGGATATGCAACAACGTCCACTATCAGACAATATTAAGAATTTGTTTCCGCACGAGTTCAAACAGATAAAAAAAATTTTTTTTTTTTTTTTTTGGTTTGTTAATTAGAGAAGCTTGGGGTTTAAGGTCATTATTTGTGTGCAAAATAACACGGGATATACAAGCATAGGAAGCATCGAAATGTAAACATTTAATTGACTTTATTGGCCTTACACTTCTTCGTCTTTTCTTCTTCTTCTTCTTCTTCTTCTTCTTCTTCTTCTTCTTCTTCTTCTTCTTCTTCTTCTTCTTCTTCTTCTTCTTCTTCTTCTTCTTCTTCTTCTTTTTATTCTTATTCATTTTTCTTTTTTTCTTATGCTTCTTCTTCTTCTTCGCGTTAATCAGCTGTGAACACTAGTGTCCACTTCTGGACTTAAGTCTTGTTCCAGAACTTGAGTTTTGCGCTCATATCCGTTTTACGAATCTGGCATCAGTATGCAGACAGTTGGTTCCATGTCTCTCAGGCACGTCACTCCGACTTCGAAGTAACCAATCCATAATAAGTCGACTTTTGGATGTTCTTGTTAGGGGGCAGTGGATCTATTCATTATCCCCCCCCCCCCCCGGCAACCCCCAGTGGGATCCTGGAACCCACACGGGGGGGGGGGGAGGGGTGGTCCTAAACGTTGTACCCGAGTATATCAAAATAAGTATGCAACCTCAGCTATCTGCTTCTTCTTCTTAAAGTGCATGCCGTGTGGTGTTGGTAGTCATGTTTTCACAACCTTCTGTCTCGTGTACCTTCAGTCAGCTCTGACACAGATGATCCTCCATGCCATGATCTCTGACAGTCCAGCATCTGTTCTCTCATTCTCCTGTTGCCTCTCCTCCAGTCCAGCTTTCTTACTGTCACGATATACTCCACTTTTCTCCTTCCCATCACATGACCAAAGAATGTAGATTGTATCTTTCTAATGTGGGTTATCAGCTCTTTTAGTAAGCAAGTTATTTTTTTTTTTTTTTTTTCAAGCCATCTGCATTATTTTTATCTGTCCAGTTGATTCTCATCGTTCGTCTACAAAACCACATTTCCGCAGCTTCCAAATAAGCATATCTATCTTTCAGGTGGATATCTACACGCAACAGGATGATGATACCAAGCTTATCCTAAGTCTTATCATCAAAGACATACAGAAAGAGGATTATGGCACATACAGCTGCATGGCTTCCAACGCCCTGGGTAAGGCCGACGAGAAAATGGTACTTGTTGGTAAGTATACAGTAGCATCGTTTTTCTCTTTATATTTGTCTTGGCCTGTCTGTCCACACTTATAATAATGTGTCTCTCTATATTTGTCTTGGTCTGTCTGTCCACAGTTATAATAATGTGTCTGTCTATGTTTGGTCTTGGCCTGTCTGTCCACGGGTATAATAATGTGTCTGTCTATGTTTGTCTAGGTCTGTCTGTCCACAACTGTAATCGTTTGTTTGTCTATATTTGTCTTGGTCTGTCTGTCCACAGTTATAATAATGTGTATGTCTATGTTTGTCTAGATCTGTCTGTCCACAACTGTAATCGTTTGTCTATATTTGTCTTGGTCTGCCTGTCCACAGTTATAATAATGTGTCTGTCTATGTTTGTCTGTCCACAACTGTAATCGTTTGTCTGTCTATATTTGTCTTGGCCTCTCTGTCCACAGTTATTAATAATGTGTCTGTCTATGTTTGTATTAGTCTGTCTGTCCACAGCTATAATAATGTGTCTGTCTATGTTTGTCTGTCCACAAGTGTAATCGTTTGTCTGTCTATATTTGTCTTGGCCTGTCTGTCCACAGTTATTAATAATGTGTCTGTCTATGTTTGTGTTAATCTGTCTGTCCACAAATGTAATCGTTTGTCTGTCTATGTTTGTCTTGGTCTGTCTGTCCACTGTAATACTAATGTGTCTGTCTATGTTTTTCTTGGTCTGTCTGTCCACAATTGTAATCGTTTGTCTGTCTATATATGTCTAGGCCTGTCTGTCCACAGTTATAATAATGTGTCTGTCTATGATTGTCTTGGCCTGTCTGTCCATAGTTATAATAATGTGTCTGTCTATGTTTGATTTGGTCTGTCTGTCCACAGTTGTAATCGTTTGTCTGTCTATGTTTGTCTAAGTCTGTCTGTCCACAGTTGTAATCATTTGTCTGTCTATGTTTAGTCTTGGTCTGTCTGTCCACAGTTGTAATCGTTTGTCTGCCTATGTTTAGTCTTGGTCTGTCTGTCAACAGTTGTAATCGTTAGTCTGTCTATGTTTAGTCTTGGTTTGTCTGTCCACAGTTGTAATCGTTAATGGAGGTTCCAACTTCGCTGCCGACGGGTTTCACGTAACAGCTCGGTTTCTGTGCCCAGTGGGACATCACACAAAATGTCTTTCCCTGTCACATTTAAAAACGTGAAAAACAGGTCAACCCCTGTAAAACCATTAAGTTCGCACACGCAAAGCAAATGTATAAGAAAGCCGTTATAAGTGTCAATTCTATCACTACAACATCAAAACTGAAGCTTACTGTATATGCAAGCTGTCGTTTACGAAAGCTGACATTTTACACACAATACTGTATAGTTAATTCTTCTTCTTTTTTTTTTTCTTTTTTTTCGTCTCACTGTTACCAGGTTGTGACCTAGGGTCATGGTTTTCTGTATATGTCTTGCGCTTTTCGGGTGATTTGAGTCAAGACCGGGTAGCTTCGTTGATACAGTTGTATTCTGTTAGTATTCTTACCATGTGGTGGCTTTCAAGTTATGTGCAGACGGAATACAGGAAACATTGACTACACATCAGACGATCATATCTTTTTAACTTATAATTGCTCAAACAATATTACATTGTTATGAAGTTTCCAGAAGATGGTTTTATCTTATGTGGGGCTAATTCAGGACCCGAAGTCACTCAGTAACAAGTATTTATCTTCAAAGATGACTGACAAAGAAGTCCCTTCAATGTGACAGTCGCAAGGTTTATTTTCATTGCAAGAAGGACACACAAAGTTTTCCAACTTTTAGGAATTCAAACTTAAGACCGGTTGTCAAAAAGTAACGACGCCAGGAAGGTTGCTTGCCGATAGAGGTCTGTATCCAGTTTCTAATTGTGATTCAAAATATTGTAAATTTAACTGTAGTTGAGTAAAAAAATCAAAACATAGCTTACCTTAAAGCCTCATCCACATCCTTGCTTGAAAAAATAATCGTGGCGGGCAGCTTCTGAAACTGTACACAAACACTGAAGCGTCACTGTTACACAACTCCAGTGAACGTAGGTGTAATCCAGATGTGTGTTTCAGTTAACAAGTATTAACTACTAGCGATATAGATAAAATCCTCACACTGAAATATCACGTTTTCTAAAACCCGTATGAACATACGTATAATATATATATTATTTTTCAGTTAAGTGTTTACTAAAGACCATACAGTCAGCACTCAGACGCCATCTACATTTTATTTCTCCTTTCTGCAACCTTGCTGAAGAACGTGGGCTTGACAGTCACAGATCTCTTGGTAGATGAATTTTGTCCAAAACTGTGTAATTAACAGCCTGGACAACGTCGATGACTGATGCCTTCTCAGTTTGCTGTCTATGGTATCCGGATCTAGACTGTTGACTCAACTGTGACCACAGCTTGTGGACACTGATGCATGGACAGCGGCATTTATTGTTGGCCTTGTAGTACAACTAGTAGTACCGCATAACCGGGTTACCAAAGTAACAAGAGTAGTATCCGGATGACATGAAGGAAATTCATTCAATGGAAATTGCTAGATCTTCCAGAAATACATCAAAGTTGGAAGTGCTGACAATATAAAGGGATAATCATCATAATCGATCTCCACTGCAAGCGTTTAGCGCCTTGGGGAGGAAAATTGTGCAATCTATTGCTTGATGGGTAGCAATAGCTATTATCATTCCGTGTAGAAATATGTCTTTAATGTCAACAATCCCTATTTTTCTAGGTGGACCTCTATAATTCCTATCAAATCTTTGTATAGGGCTTGTGCTTGTAGTTGTTTCGGCTGTATTCTAAGGAGATGGCCAAATCAGTTGATCTTCTGGTGCATGGAGTTGTTCCCGCAGTCTGTCTTGTAGTATTATTTCTCACTTTGTCTGCGATGTTTAAGTTGACGGCTTTCCTCAAGCAACTCATTTCACATGTGGTAATATTACGTAGGCACTGTGTTGATTTGAATATACTGTTTATAATCTGTTACCTTGCGGTCATACCTAAGTTTGACTGTCTTAATAACGGCATCAGTTGGTATGTAAGTACACTGGCTTATTTCAAGCTTGTTTTTATTTCCTTAGCTGTTCTCATGTCCTCCGAGAATATACTTATATATCCTTAAATTCTTTATCTTGCTCCAGATAAGCACTATTTAACCATATGTATAGAAAAATATGAATTCTGCTGAACTGCACTACTAAAGTTTTAGTCCTATTTGCTATCATATCTTCTGCATATTGAATGTAGCCTGTTTAAATTGGCTTGTAGTCATTTAACTTCCTCCGCAATTCTTAAGCAATTACAGCTGAACAAATAAATTCCCTTCCCCTCTGTTGGATCTGTGGTAGAGTCATGCTTATTTGAACTAACTGATGTTAAAAATACATACTAAATCACAGGTACGCTGACTAAATCACGGAATAAATTGAAACACATGTGAATTCAGCACTGAAGTCGAACAAACATGAATTTGTGTGCTCCTTTCTTTTTTCCGCTTGGAGCATTCAGGTCATAATTTGTGTTGTTACTTCTACACACCTGAACTGACCGCTAAACACAGCTCTGTCCGCTGGCCGTAGAAATTCACGAGGTCGGTTGTGTGTGAGACTTGGTGAGCGATTCTAACTGGGGTCAATGTCTTCACTTAGTGAGCGATTTTAACTGGGGTCAATGTCTTCACTTGATGAGCAATTTTAACTGGGGTCAATGTCTTCACTTGGTGAGCAATTTTAACTGGGGTCAATGTCTTCACTTAGTGAGCGATTCTAACTGGGGTGAATGTCTTCACTTAGTGAGCAATTTTAACTGGGGTCAATGTCTTCACTTAGTGAGCAATTTTAACTGGGGTCAATGTCTTCACTTGGTGAGCAATTCTAACTGGGGTCAATGTCTTCACTTAGTAAACGATTCTAACTAGGGTCAATGGCATCACTTGGTGAGCGATTCTAACTAGGGTCAATGGCATCACTTGGTGAGCGATTCTAACTAGGGTCAATGGCATCACTTGGTGAGCGATTCTAACTAGGGTCAATGGCATCACTTGGTAAGCGATTCTAACTAGGGTCAATGGCATCACTTGGTGAGCGATTCTAACTAGGGTCAATGGCATTACTTGGTAAGCGATTCTAACTAGGGTCAATGGCATTACTTGGTAAGCGATTCTAACTAGGGTCAATGGCATTACTTGGTGAGCAATTTTAACTGGGGTCAATGTCTTCACTTGATGAGCAATTTTAACTGGGGTCAATGTCTTCACTTGATGAGCAATTTTAACTGGGGTCAATGGTTCACTTAGTAAGCCATTTGATTACTAGTAAAGAATTCAGGCCCATGTACACGCTAGCTGACCTTTCATTGATGCTTGTCCAGGCTGGTCAACGTTGCTCAAAGTTAGAGGGGTGTACCGCTGTATTCACAAAGCTTTCTGCGTTGCGTGTTAATCGTTATTATGTGAGCAGCGGCCGTCCACATTGCGTTCTCACTCGCAAGCAGAATTATTGTTTTTTGGTGGGTATATTGACAGCCGTCTAGGATTTCTAGTACGAAATGAGTTTATTTAAGCTGTCATCTGTGGCGGGCGCAAGGAGGGTAGCGTTGCGTATCTTCAGCAATACAGCGTTTTGCAGGCCACTGCAAAATATCAAGAAGTCTGAAACCATGAGACGTAAAATGCTCTCTCTCGTGGGACTTAGGTTCCGTGTGTGGGGTTATATAAGGAGAGGGGGGAGGGCCTTAGGGCCAGTTGTACATGTTATGGGGTCGTTAAAAGCGCTCACATAAGATCTTCGACAGAATACAACGTTGCATCAAGCTGACATCTCTGCCATTTAAACTTGCGCCTCTCTAAGGTTAAGACGCAAGAATGAACTTTCAATCAGGGTGCCTGACCCGACTTCGTCACTCATATGTGTGTAGATGGGCCTGTGTTCGTTTGATGGTCCGTGATTTTTAACTGGGGTTAGTCACGGCCAGCTCCAGATTTATAAATATGCAGCCGGACGTGGGTTAGTCTCGGATGTGAGTACGTAACATATTGTAGTGAGTATTGTTCATACTGGAACTTTGTACACCTCGAACGAAGTGATGCGAAGTTTTTATAAAGTATCTGGTTTGTACTTTTCGACCATCAGCTGTATATGATCGAACCTCATCATAATCATGTGCCCTGCCAACTGGCGTAGTCGCTAATGCATCTTCACAGATCACGATCGCTGGTTGCCTGGAATATCTCTCTTGATGATATCCTAGAGGATATTACGTCGGTAATCCAGACTGAGTCGGCTCTGTGGCTAAGTCAATGCGAACGCTTCGTAATGCCTGGTTCGATCCCAGCTGCGAGCCATGCGCCTTGCGTTGGTTTCGACAGTGGTATCAAGAAAGCGACTATCCAGAAAGCAATGGCAAACTTCTGGACGTAAATTTGCCTAGAAAAACCACACAACAACCAGGGGCCGTTGCGGTTGGTTCTGCAACGTCCTGTAAAGAATAGGCAACTAACCAAAAACAGACTGAACGGGGAAACCCGTGAGTTTCTTTTATAGAGATGGCTCATGCAGTTTGAGTTTTATCCGTGACCTGGCTTTGACCGATCCTGGTCCCTTCGACCAGACCAGTGCAGGGGGAGCTATACTTTGATCTTGGCCATAAGGCCCAGAAGCGATACTGGGTGGAGCATTAGAACATCAAAGTGCATCCCGTTTTGGGACGATGGTTCTGTTACTTTTCTGCATTCTTTTTCTTCATCATTCCCAGCCCTGGAGGTTCATTGCTGCAGATATCACCTGCCTTCATTCCTTTCTCTGGTTGGCCTTCTCTTTCTAGTTGGTAACGCCAAGTGTTTGCAGGTCTGACTGGATATTATCTCTCCATCGTCTTCTTGGTCTGCCTCGTGGTCTTCGACTATTCATCACCCTTATGTATACAGTTTTTACCTTTCTATCATCTGACATTCTCTCTAATGCTATGTATATGACTTGACTTTCTACCCCACTAGGACATCACACAAGCGATAAACACCCGATGACACAAAGTGCCACCATGCGGATGAGGATCGCCGTGGAGAGGTCCCAGAAACCGCGTTCAGACACTTGGCCATATTTATGGCCTGCCTATATTGCGGCCCCTGGCAAAAGCCAGGGTGGGGCTTCAAATAACAAAAAATTTCGCCCTAAAAAGGACGAAACAGGATGATACCAGCGATTAGTATATGCTATGTATATTCAGTAATAATTCATTAATACTTCATTTTGCAGTCATAAATATTGCACAATCTGAATGTATAAGGAAAACTTCAGGGGAAAAAAGAAATTTGAAATAAATGTTATACTTACTAACGTTTTTGCTACACAGAACATAAAGAAAGGACGAAACCACCACCCATGACCACGCCAGCAACTACAACATCAACTACAACATTTCTGCCACACTACCTCGCCAGAACACCCCAGCCAGGAATGCACCAAGGGACACAAGTAAGTCATTTTATCAGCCTTGAACGACAATAATGCCCTTCTAAAAATATTTGCTTCTTTACTCATAATCCACATTTCTACTGCTCTGATTTGTTGGTTTGTACAGGTTTATTTTTACGGACTCTGTAAGCCACCGTGATGTCGCAGCCAGACGTTTGCCTGCAGATCCAAAGGTCGTGGATTCAGATCCTGACTTTTCAGTAAGGACTTAGCTCCAAGATCGACCCAGATTTCAATGGGTACCAAGTTGAGTCCTAGAAAGTGAAGGTTCTGCTTCTTCTGCCTTTGTTGTAGCTCAGTGTTGAGGTTTTGTCGTCTCACTGATACCAGGTTGTAGCCCAGTGTCGTAGTTTTTTCGTCTTACTGATACCAGGTTGTAGCCCAGTGTCATGGTTTTGTCGTCTCACTGATACCAGGTTGTAGCCCTGTGTCATGGTTTTGTCGTCTCACTGATACCAGGTTGTAGCCCAGTGTCGTGGTTTTGTCGTCTCACTGATACCAGGTTGTAGCCCAGTGTCGTGGTTTTGTCGTCTCACTGATACCAGGTTGTAGCCCAGTGTCATGGTTTTGTCTTCTCACTGATACCAGGTTGTAGCCCAGTGTCGTGGTTTTGTCGTCTCATTGATACCAGGTTGTAGCCCAGTGTCGTGGTTTTGTCGTCTCACTGATACCAGGTTGTAGCCCAGTGTCATGGTTTTGTCTTCTCACTGATACCAGGTTGTAGCCCAGTGTCGTGGTTTTTTCGTCTTACTGATACCAGTTTGTAGCCCAGTGTCATGGTTTTGTCTTCTCACTGAAACCAGGTTGTAGCCCAGTGTCATGGTTTTGTCGTCTCACTGATACCAGGTTGTAGCCCAGTGTCATGGTTTTGTCTTCTCACTGATACCAGGTTGTAGCCCAGTGTCATGGTTTTGTCTTCTCACTGATACCAGGTTGTAGCCCAGTGTCGTGGTTTTGTCTTCTCCCTGATACCAGGTTGTAGCCCAGTGTCATGGTTTTGTCTACTCACTGATACCAGGTTGTAGCCCAGTGTCGTGGTTTTGTCTTCTCACTGATACCAGGTTGTAGCCCAGTGTCATGGTTTTGTCTTCTCACTGATACCAGGTTGTAGCCCAGTGTCATGGTTTTGTCTTCTCACTGATACCAGGTTGTAGCCCAGTGTCGTGGTTTTTTCGTCTTACTGATACCAGTTTGTAGCCCAGTGTCATGGTTTTGTCTTCTCACTGAAACCAGGTTGTAGCCCAGTGTCGTGGTTTTGTGGTCTCATTGATACCATGTTGTAGCCCAAATGTCGTGGTTTTCTGTATTTGTCTTTGGCTTCTCGGGGGCTTTGGTTGATAAATCTGTTCATCTTGTTGCAGGTTTCAGCTAAACCATTTATACTGTTCTTTCTTAGCCTTTCCCTTGCCTTTCTCCCAGATGTTCTGGTGTAAAAGTCTCATTTAGTCTGGCTGCAATCTCACCAGATGGCCGAACCATTGCATTCTTTGTTAGTCAATATAATTCTGCTTTGGACTTACTCCATCTTTCTCTCTATTGCTGGTATTCGTAACACTGTCCATTCTTGTGCTCCTAGTAACCTTACGCATACAGGGCATTTCACATGTCGTTATTTTCTGTTTTACTGCTTTATTTATTGTCCATGTTTGGCACTGATAAAACAAAGTAGAAAGGAATACACGGCTATCTTCCGAATAACGGTCCCAAGTTATCGATGCGGAAAATATACCCTAACAGAGCCTCAGTCACGTGTCAATTGGGCCTTTCAGGGCATTATACCGCCACCCCCGAATTGCGATCTTCCCGGGACTTCCCCCACCGCCGAGGGGCTAAACTAGATGGCTAGGACTCACGAGCAAATAAAATGAAGGAAGCTGCAGGAGATGCGGTAGCTGCTGCTCGTGTGTCCTAGCCATCTAGTTTAGCCCCAATCCACGCCGCGTGAGCGGCGTCGGGATACACTCAGCGGTGGCGGAAGGTGCCGAAAGTTCGCAATTCGGCGGTGTGGGAAGTCGCAGGAAGCTCGCATTTTAAGATGACGGAACTGCGCAATTGACACGTGACTGAGGCTTTGTTAGGGTATATTTTCCGCCTCGATAATTTGGGACCGTTATTCGGAAGATAGCCGGAATATACTATTAATCAATAATTTAATACCAGTGTGACTATTATTGGTTATTATGTTGATACTGATACCTGTTAAAGTAGACAATGTACATTCTGGGGACATTCGTGAGAAGGAGAAAACTGGAGCACATCATGACGGTGAGAAAACTGGAGCACATCGTGACGGTGAGAAAGTTGGAGCACATCGTGACGGAGAGAAAGTTGGAGCACATCGTTACGATAAGAAAGTTGGAGAACATCGTGACGGTGAGAAAGTTGGAGCACATCGTGACGATGAGAAAGTTGGAGCACATCGTGACGGAGAGAAAGTTGGAGCACATCGTGACGGTGAGGACGTTGGAGCACATCATGACGGTGAGAAAACTGGAGCACATCGTGACGATGAGGACGTTGGAGCACATTGTGACGGTGAGAAAGTTGGAGCACATCGTGACGATGAGAACGTTGGAGCACATCGTGACGATGAGAAAGTTGGAGCATGTCGTGACGGTGAGAAAGTTGGAGCACATCGTTACGATAAGAAAGTTGGAGCACATCGTTACGATAAGAAAGTTGGAGCACATCTTGACGGTGAGAAAGTTGGAGCACATCGTGACGGTGAGAAAGTTGGAGCACATTGGGACGGTGAGAACGTTCGAGAACATCGTGGCGGTAAGAAAGTTGGAGCACATCGTGACGGTGAGGTCGCTGGAGGCGAACAGAGACCGAGGGAGAACGAGAGACGTTATGTTCGACAGTTTGACATCATAGCATCACGGATTTTCTGTTTCCGGACTGATTGAAAGTGCACGAGACAGAAGATTGTGGGTTGACATGACTACCAACACAACACGGCATGGACTATCAGAAGAAGATCATCCTCACCATGTGCCTTGTCGAGTGACATAGGCGATCGAGCCTCTCTACAGTCTACGATCTGCAGCTTATTTATTAGTTCAGTTTTAACATGCGGCTGTCAATCCTGAACAATCGGTAGGCAGGCCAAACAATTCCTGGAGGCCTCAGTGATGTGGTTTTTACAGAAGAATGCTTAGAAAACCTTGGACAGCCAAAAAGAGCAATCAAGAGGTTTTGAAAGAGGCGAGAGCCCGAAGAAAACTTATCACAGACATCAGAAGGAGACAGTCATTATTTTTTGGGCATGTTCTGAGAAGAGGGAAAATAGAACATGTTGTGACCACTGGAAAGATTTGTGGAAGGAGGAATAGAGGAAGACAACAAGAGAACATTCTTGACAGTCTTGTTGCATGGCATGGAGTTGTGTCGGCACACGAACTGATAGGCACCTGGTGATGATGATGTATCAGTTCCTGTGTTGATACCATCCATGAGGTGCCAAAAAGTTGTAAAGAAGCTTCTAAAGTTGTCTTCCTCTGTCTCTTTTTACCCTGGATCTTTTCAGTGGTCGCAACGTGTCCTTGCATCCCTCATTTCATAATTAAAAAATTATGATTCTCTTTCTGATGTTTGTGATAAATCGTCTTCGAACACTCGAATCTTTCTAGACATCTAAGTTACTATTTTTGGCCGCCCAAGAAATTATAAGGATTCGTCTGTAAAACATGTTCGAAGCCTCAATGCATTATTAGGCTTGTTTATTAATTGGACTATCTTCCGAATAACGGTCCCAAATTATCGAGGCAGAAAATATACCCTAACAAGGCCTCAGTCACGTGTCAATTGCGTACTTCTGGGGACTATACCGCCGTCGCCGAATTGCGAATTTCTGGTTACTTCCGCCGCCACCGAGATTACCGTTACGCCGCTCACGCGGCTTGGATTGGGGCTAAACTAGATGGCTGGGACTCACGAGCAAATAAAATGAAGGCAGCTGCTGGAAATGCGGTAGCTGCTGCTCGTGAGTCCCAGCCCACAGCCGGCCATCTTTAGCTATAAATAGGCCAACTGGGTCAACGGGGATTCCCGTTCTTGTGCAAGAATTGAGTCCCTCTGCGGTAAGAGTTTTTATTGAGGAAATGTATACACAAATTAAACTACAGTTTCATTAATTTTCTACATATTGTATAGAACTATACGTCATTTTTAAGGTAAATAAGTGTGATGAATAAATATAACAATAAAGGCTCTTACAGACAAACAAAAATGCTTTTGCTACAGTCAACATGAACATAAACATCAAAACGTTTAGATGAAAACTAAAAGTTGTTCCAGCAAAAGTAAAGAAATATCAGTGCTAACTCTTTGATTCTGAGAGGGTATTCTTGCATCAGAGGAGCGGGGGGGGGGGGGGGGGGGTGACATTTGTACTTTATCAAATTTAGCGCATACAAATACTGCTATGAAAGATACACATATCATACATAACATAAATATAAATAATTGATGGTTATTATTATTATTAGTAGACTACTACAACATATAATTATACTGTTATTTAATAATTTGTAAACAAGCACAATCAGTATGAAATTGATATGTGCAATACTTTTTTTACCCAGAGTAGTTTACTTAACAGTACTTATAGCACTACTAAATATGTATCCTCGAGGTACAAACAGCACAAACAAATTTGTCCAGTTTCATCTTGTTGGATGAAATAAATTCCTTATCATTGCGAATTTTTTGGTAAATATGCATAGGAAGTGGATGAACAACCAGAAGTTTCCCCAAGAGTTTACAGCCAGTGTTCGCAAAGCAAAAGCCAGTTTACAAAATTAACACAGACCGTTATTTTGCAAATATGCAAAATAAGTTGATGAACTACCAGAAGTTTCCGCAAGAGTTTACAGCCAGTGTTCACGAAGCAAAGCAGAAGCCAGTTTACAAAAATTAACAGACCGTAGAACTGCAAACATGCAAAAGAAGTCGATGAACTACCAGAAGTTTCCGCAAGAGTTTACAGCCAGTGTTCG